TATGGGGTGCTGTGTGTACATTAATGAGGAAAAAAAATTAACTTAAATGATTTTAGCAAATGGCTGCAATATAACAAAGAGTGAAAAATTTAAGGGGGTCTGAATACTTTCCGTACCCACTGTATATACTCTGTCTGGCCCAAAAAATATAATAATAATAATAAAATAATATACTACATAAACGTGTATATATAAAAATGTAAAATATATAAAAAATAAGATGTATATATACATAGAGAGAGAGATATAGAGCAAAAATTTAGATATCATGCTAATACTACCTAAAAAAGCTCTTTTTTTTTTGCGTCTTTTGAGATCAGTGAGTCAGGCTGTTTGTGAGTGCACTCAGTAGACAGCATGTTTTGTAGCTGTAGTGTGTTTGTGGGAGTTTCTGAGGTGTGTAATAAATCCAGAGGCTGTCGGTTTCAGCTGCTTCAACTGTTCCAGTGCAGTGCCTGGACGACGTGCAGAAGAGCAGCGTCCCTCGTCCCCCCAGCGCGCCTCCGCTGCCCTCGACTCCAGACGGCCTGCAGGAGAACTGCCTGAAGGACCCTTGGACCGTCCCTCGTCCGGCTCCGCTGGGTAGCCCCGGCGTGCGGCTCAATCCCACTCTGCGCATGAGCTCGCTGGACGACAGCTCCTGGTCCTTCCCCAGGGACGACGTGCAGAAGAGCAGCGTCCCTCGTCCCCCCAGCGCGCCTCCGCTGCCCTCGACTCCAGACGGCCTGCAGGAGAACTGCCTGAAGGACCCTTGGACCGTCCCTCGTCCGGCTCCGCTGGGTAGCCCCGGCGTGCGGCTCAATCCCACTCTGCGCATGAGCTCGCTGGACGACAGCTCCTGGTCCTTCCCCAGCCCTCCCCGTCCAAGCGACGCCCTGTTCTGGGACCAAACCAAGCCCAAGAGCCCCGCCGGCGACTGGGCCCAACCGCACTGAGTCACGCTCCCGCCACACCACACCTTACCTGCCTTAACACACACGTCCCTCTCTGGATGATCCCGGATGAGCAAATACCTCGAGCAGACTGGGACGGAGAAACCCACGCGGGACACCAAACACCCGAGAGCCGGACGCTGGAATGGACGCGTTCCTGACGTATATTTGTGATTCATTATATCCTATAGGCTTGTGTTCATCTCGAGTCGATTCTATTAACCGTGACGGATCCTGTCTCGTATTATGAACGTGTAAGGGGAATGTTTTAGTAGTTCACGCACTCCTCGAAGGATTTTTCTTTAGGAACACATCTGTCGTGTCTTTATACCCATATACAGCTGTTCAAACCCCAAATCAGGGGAAACAAAGTTTTAGTGTTTAGATTTAGTCAATAAATGAGCTGATCTGTGGGCAGCGGGTGTGTTTGTGCAAGTTATTTTGCTTTAAACGGGGTCTCGCAGTCAACCTGAAAATTTGCAAATTAAAAAGTCTTTCTATAGTAAATGATCGACTTTTTTTAGGGGCAGAGAACTTACTGTATCCGTTAGTTTTCTTCCTCTGCTCTTGAGTCTATGGCAGCCCACAGAACCGCTTGCGAGAAAGTGATGAAATTTGGCACACAGATAGAGGACAGTCTCAACATTAACCATAGCAAATTTGGAGTCTCTAACCCTATAGCGCCACCAACAGCTCAAATTTGCACTCATGTTTATGCTAATAACTTTTGAACCGTAAAGTCTAGCAAAAGCAAAATTCTTTTCAAAATTTCTCTGAAAAATTCAGAATTCCTTTAACAAACAAAATTCCTCGGCTCATGCTGATTCGATGGCACCCTATGACGTCATTTTCCATCATGAAAATGTTCCTGCCATTTTGAATTTTTCGAAAAACTTGCTTCTTTTTGAATTGCTCCTAGGCTGTTGCTCCAATTTTCAGGAAATTTGACTCCGATCATCTTCAGACCATGCCGACAAAAAGCTATGGAATTCAAGTTGATTAGTTAAACCGTTCTCGAATAACACGCAAACAAATTTGTCGAAGGGCATGCCAAAATGGACGTGAGGCTATATCTCCGCAACGCTTTAGCGTATTGAGATCAAACATGGTGTGTGTTATAACAACCATGACTTGAGAATACCTGTACAGTTTCGGCACAGCGCCACCTAGTGGTCAGGAGATATGA